AGATAAGGTTATTTCGAAGATGAGTCCTTTTACGGCATGTCTGTATCTGAAATTGCCGATTTGGCGACGATCCTAAAGTCATGACCTTTCCCAGTCCAATTGGAGGCAATATTGGGCAGTGTTTCCCTCACCTCTCGCTTCTGTCACTTGCTCATCCAGCTCAAGTCAACTTGCCTTGTACACGCCTTACTGCGCTCACTCACGCCTCAGGGAGTCCTTTCAGGTCACCCTTTCTGTGAGCGACAGGCTTGAAAGGCATCATCTGCCCTGGAAGCCTCGCACCGGTTTCAATCGGCCAGCCTCTTGGAGAGGATGCCATTCGTTTCTGATCCGTCTGACAGTGCTTCGCGAGTGACAATATGAACTGTGTGCTAATTGGTGATATTACCGCAAAGCCTTTATGTACATGATTATTTGCGATTATCTTGCAGCCTTGGATATACTTATGTCTCCTTGCAGCTGCTGCTGGAAGAGGTGTTGACAGAGCACAATGAACTGACCACTCATACACCCATGTCCACAAATGTGACGTCCACAGAAGGTCCTTACGACAAAATGCTCCTTCGCCACTCGAGCCCCACGACGGTAGTCAGACATTATCGTCCAGAAATGTATCTTCCGTGCCAAAAATTTGCCCAGCACATGCCACTCACAGGATTGTCACTTGTCGGCCGATGTGTAAGCGTGTGTTGCGGCTTTAGTGTGTAATTGTGAGCGATAATGCCGTGTCATTATGTTAGATTGCAGAAAAGCCATCCTGTCGAGCAAGACCCCTCTGGAATTATCTCGCCCCCTTCTTACCCCAAATGCATTTGGAGATTAACCCAACCATTTAATGCCTACTAGCTGCTCCCAAGTAGTGCATTGGTTGGCCGCGGTGTCTGCATACAACAGGACCTCATTGCTACTGGTGTTAGAGCACCGGAATGCATTTGTATACATGTTGATCTCACCACAAATGCTCTGTTTAATTTCTGGCCTGTGTGGCTTCAGACGTCCGCCATACCCCCGTCAAGCCGACGCCTGGCCAGTGAGCAGGACCTTGCATTAACCACACAAGCGGGTTAAGATGAATCCGATTTCTCCGCGCAAAAGAATTATCACTTCTTCAGGGTATTTACTTGCATCGTAGGAAGCAGACGAGTTTCATCTCGTATTCGCTTTCGCACACCCACACAGTCAGGATGGATAATACCAGTTTCCTGTCCGGCCCTACAATCACTTGCAATGGACCAGCCCAACTGAACGGCTTGATAGGTCCTGACCAGCTCATAAAAGGCAACCATCCTACCAGCACCGGCACCGGTACAGGTCCCGACCTCAACTCAGTCATGGCCACCGGCACCACGGCTCTGACGTATCCACTAACTTCGCCACCCCTCTGTCCACAGCCTTGCAGACAGACTCTTGATGATGCAACCATAGCGCG